GTTGAACTTCACCGACACCTCGTAGTCACCTGCGGGGTCAGGGCAAAGAAAATCTCATCCCAAAAATCCCAAAAATCCCAAAAATCCCACCCCAAAAACTCCTGAGACTCAGCTATGTCCCCTCTCTCGGGGATGTGCTTGTCGTTGAACTTCACCGACACCTCGTGGTCACCTGTGGGGTCAGGGCAAAGATCCTAAAAATCCCACCCCAAAAATCCTAAAACCCCCCAAAACCCCCCCAAAAACCCCCAAAAAACCCCAAAAACCGACCGGGCTCCTGCACCACGTAGGAGACGCCGCAGGAACCGTCCTTGTGGTCCTCGAAGGCGATCTCGGCCTTGCTGGGACCCTCGACGGCGATGGAGAGACCCCCGGCGCCGGCCTCGCGCGTCCAGATGCTGAACTCGGCTGGGGAGGGGGAAAATGGGGGTCAGGGAACCCCAAAATCCCAAAAAAACACCCCAAAAAACACCCCTAAATCCCATAAAGCACCCCAAAACCCCACAGTGTGGAGTAAATCCTATAGATTCCCCTATAAAGGACACAGAGACCCCCGGCGCCGGCCTCGTGCATCCAGATGCTGAACTCGGCTGGGGAGGGGGAAACGGGGGGTCAGGGAACCCCAAAATCCCCAAAAAAACACCCCAAAAAACACCCCTAAATCCCATAAAGCACCCCAAAACCCCACGGTGTGGAGTAAATCCTATAGATTCCCCTATAAAGGACACAGAGACCCCCCGGCGCCGGCCTCGCGCGTCCAGATGCTGAACTCGGCTGGGGAGGGGGAAACGGGGGGTCAGGGAACCCCAAAATCCCCCCAAAAAACCCCAAAATCCCAAAAAACACCCCAAAATCCCAAAAAACACCCCAAAAAACACCTCAAATATAGACAAACCCCATAAATTCCCCTATAAAGGGCACAGAGATCGCCGGCTCCCACCCCATTTTCTGGGTCCCCCCATTTTTGGGGTCCCCTCCACCCTATTTTCAGGCTCCCCCCAATTTTGGGGTCCCCATCCTAATTTCGGGGTGCTCACCGTGACACCCCCCTGTTTTCACTGTCCCCCCATCCCAATCTCGGGGTCCCCCATTTTCAGGGTGCTCACCGGGGCTGCCCCCCACCCCAATTCTGGGGTCCCCATGTCGAATATCAGGGTGCTCACCGTGACACCCCCCACATTTTCACTGTCTCCCATCCCAATCTCGGGTCCCCCTCATTTTTGGGGTGCTCACCGGGGCTGCCCCCCATTATCACTGCCCCCCACCCCAATTCCGGGGTCCCCGATTTCGGGGTGCTCACCGGGGCTGCCCCCCACCCCAATTCCGGGGTCCCCGATTTCGGGGTGCTC